CCAACCGAATTCAAATATCTTGCTAGAGCACCTGCTGGGCCGATCACAGCACCTGTATGATGAACAACGGCATTGAGAAACTGGGTGGCAAGACTCGAGTTGTGATGGAAAAGACGACGTAAGAATGTGAGGGCGGTGGATATCACATAAAGCAATGGGTCTTGCAGTTGAGGAGAGAAAGCATGGACCGCTAGCCAACTAGAGACTTGGGACTCTGGTCCTACAAGTGCGATTGCGGCTTCACGGCGGAGTGTGCGAAAGTGCTTCTCCCCAACGATCTGAGTTTCAGCCCCAAAGAATGCGTGGGGCCAGACCGCTGTCTGAATGAAACGTGCCTTTTGGAGGAGGTCTGTGTGAAAACGTCGAATCCGTTTGCACCTCTGGATCGCACTACTGATCTTTGTTTTCAAGTGACCGAGTGTGATGCGTCTGGTGTAGTGTGTCATGCATCCAAGGTCTTTGGTGGAGTTAAGGATCGGAATCTGATTGTCCTCAGAGAATTCAAGGTGCAGAAATTCCTGCCATTCCCGACGGGCATCGGCCGTAGCACCCCACACCCATGATTTCGCATAGTCTATAGACATGCGGAGGCTGGACACAAGTTGTTGGACCTTAGCAAATGCTTGAATGTTATCTCGTTGGTTTGTCGTTAAATAGGACCAGTTGTCGGCATAAGCATATGGAAAGACCGTGGGTGTATGAAGAGTCCAGTAGAAAGCGGAGGAAACGACAAGCATGGCGCAGACCGACAGGCTGTCGCCTTCGGGAACACCGGTGGTCATGTGAATGGGAGGGCCAACATTATTACGAACCTGCAGGCGTCGGGTCAGCCGCCGTAAATTCATAAACCAAAATTGCACTGAGTCTGGGGGAGCCCCATGGTGAACGAGGAGGTGAAAGATAACTCGGCGTGGAAGCAAATTAAAGGCTTTGATTAAATCAAGGGTAAAGCCACGCCATGGCAAGGACTGCTTTTTGGCAGATTCTATCTGAAATTGCTGTAAAAATGTAATGTCCTGGACTCCTCGGAATGGCAATCCCCCGGAGATGGCACTCGGCCAAGTGTGTGCCCAGTGGCTTAACAACTGGTCAGCGATGATTTTAGAAGTGAGGCGGCTGGCCTTACTACTAGGAGCAAGGACGTTACGAACGGGGCTCCTGGCATCGCTACTAGTAACAAGAAGCATCTTGTTTCGTTTGTTTCCCGAAAGTTCGCCTCGCCTCCTTGAGCACTTCGAAACGGATCCGCGACCGGCTGTAGGAGGCGCCTTAGATTTCGACCGCAGGTCGCTGTCTTCCAATTCCTTCCAAAAGGGAAAAGGCAAAGGAAAAGGAGTTATATAGGAGGAGCTAAGTCCAAAGAGGAGCTAAGTCGTGAAGGAAGTAGCAGGATGCAGGAGAATCCTTTTGATGGAAACCTTTCCTCTCTTAATTACATGTTCGAACAAATTTCAACGTTGCAGGAAACACGTATTTCCTTTGTTAAATGAGTCTAGGAACCAAATGGATGTGCATTTTAATAGCGAGACCCCCAATCCCTATTTTGATACACACCCAAATGAATGGTGCGAGAGCTATCCTGCGTCCGCTCGCTAGTAGCAAGTTACCTGTAGCTTGTTTAGCTCATACTTAATTAAGTAAGCGCCTACTTAATCAAGTATCGGTAAGGGCAACGTGGGCTTAAAGAAAAACAGTATCACTGAATCACTGCTGTTCTTCAGATTTCCCTTCAGACTTCGTGTTGATCGAAATGTCTTCCTTATCAAAATTGGAAAAACAAATGATATTGCAATCCGTGTGGTGCTCTGTCACAAACAATGCAGAGCTTATGGATGCTATTAGGTAGAGGCCATCACAAGTAGGTTGGAGGCCAGAAGCTACGAACGTAACAAGAAAATAGACTATAGTTATATCACATGAGCAAAAACTTGATACGGTGTGTTTGTTGCACATGTCCGGTGATGTGTTTGTTCCTGTGCGAAGCGACTCTGGAGCACAGGAACGATTTGTCAGTCATACAGCTGTTAGCTCGCTGGTGACTCGAACGATGATCTGTGAGATTGCGGGTGGCATTTGGTAGATGATCTGTGAGTCTTGCTATGTTTTGCTTGCAAGGCTAGCCGCTAGTGGATCACTCTTTGCACGGATGTTGTGGATTGCTTGCCAACCTAACAAAAGTGTGAGAAAAGAGGTTCCTGCCACAATCACGCTAACAGGCTGCATATTGGATCGTCCTTCCTGTCTTTGGCTCTCGTCTGGCACTTGATACACCCTGCAAGCATTGTTTACCTGTGATTTTTCTGTGTGATCTCATCTCTGTGTTTTGTGTCCGCATCTGAGAAGATCTTCGTTGCTTTGATCTGACATTCGTGTCGTTCATGTTCGGTTATAGGATCCAGGCGAATATGAATTTCATCTCCTTGGGACACCTCAAAGCACCAGAATCTGCAGCGTTTGCAATACTAATAGGAATGGCCTCCAACCTAAGACAGCAATGGCCTCCAACAACAAACAAACATAAAACAACACACAACAAACAACAAAAGGGAACGTTTTGGGCAAAAAGGTGTGCGAGTTGGCCTGCAATGGTGTGGCAAGCCATTGATATGCGTGGCGATTGTAGTCCTCAGATTCTTCGATAAAGTTTGGATCAAAGACGATGGTTGTTGATCCATTCATCTTTTGATTGTTTTAAGTTTCTGTACAAAATATGAAGCAAATCCATCAAACAGTGTCAAACATTCATCTTACATCCCCTTTCTTATACCAGAACTTCCCAATTGGCCAACCCTGGGCGCCCAGCTCCGTGCACGTCCACGTGGCTACTCTGTAGATCCATTGGAGTGTGATCCAAATGGGTTGATTCGGTGAGTGCCCTGAGGCGAAGCTGAAAGCGAAAACCAAAAACACATAAAGAGGACGCTATTAGTAGCAAAGGGCCGCTACTAGGGGCTCCTGGCATCGCTACTAGGAGCGATTGGACGCTACTAGGGGTTTGTGGCATTACTACTAGGAACAAGAAGCTGTCTTTTCCCAGAAGATCATCCTGCAAAAGCCCCGGACATTCGATACCAAAAGACGATGCTGTTGAGCACCTCAGCCGAGCAACGCTTAGAATACAAGAGAAATAGATATGACATAATGTATGTATGTCTTTATATTACGTTTAACAAGTAATTTGAACTCTCCCTCTCTCTCACACACTCTACACACGTAAAATGACGAACCGCAAACCCTACGCCCCTCTATCCCACTTCAATGCAATAATCGCTGGCTAGGTGCGAAGGCTTAAAGCTGCTCGACCAACAGTGATCACGGCTCTTTCCGGAAACAGCTGGTTGTCACGTTCCACCTTTGCAGAAATTGGTCAGTCACCTCCGTTTTGCCTGTCACGTAACAGGGCGTAGCACCGGCGCCCAGTGTCGCCGGTCTCACCGGGTGGTGGCTTCATGTGGCTTCCCTACACGCGCACGGCGTGCCGTCCTCGCTATGCACGCTGCACTGTGGGTGCTGGTCTCTGGTGCCTCAACTCTGAAGTATAGAGCCGTTTCGCTGATTCAACTCCTTCAGCCTTCAGCTTGTTTGTGCAATGCCGTTGGTTCACCATCTGCCTCACAACGAATCCTTCGAGCGCGCAGCCAAGCGCGTTTAGCTAACCCGTGATTAGCCAACCCTCGTGGTCAAGGTGCTCCAATGTGTCCTGCAGTTAGCTGACTTGGACGTTCGCCAAGCAGCTCACTAATTGGCACGTCCACTTAGCCAACTTGGCATACTTGGCTAAGTCACCGCTCAAGACATAGCCAAATGTAAACTTTGCACAGAAACAGCAAAAAGCAACAAACCACATACAATGTGTTGCTAGCCTTTGTTACTACTAGCTTCTTGTTACTACTAGTAAGGCACTTGTTACTAGTAGCGATGCACTTGTTACTACTAGCTTCTGTTGCTAGCCTTTGTTTCAAACTTCGGCCCTTTGAGGACAAAGGTTCGTCTTCGGCCGTTCAAGGACTAGGTTGGAGGCCATGACCGGGGCGATGTTCTGAGTGTGCTGACGCCATCCTCTTTGGCGACGAAGCACAAGTCCATCTGCCCACTCCTTTGTGCATTGACATTGGTTTTTGGGAAGAGGTGTCGAGTGTGACAGATTGAAAGGAAAGGAAAGAATGATTTAAAGGTCTAGAAATGTCTAAAGAAAACAAAAACAAGCAAAAGTCGAAGCACCTCTTTAGATCGTTCTTCCTTGCAAGGACGCTATTAGGTGGAGGCCATCGCAAGTAGGTTGGAGGCCATCGCTACTAGTAGCAAGAAGCTACTAGTTATATGTTGTTTTATCATACTGTTTCTTTCGACCTTTCTTATCTTTCTTTCTCTCAGATCAGCTTGGTGACATCTTCATCTCTGGCTCGGTGAAGTCGAATTCAAAGACCTCACATACCGGCCTTGGAGGTTTGCGTTCTGTGCAACGCAGGCAACACAGGCATTTGGACATGCAAAACTAAACGACTTCTTCAGAAATCCAACTCAGTCACTGAAAGCCCTCACACGTCGCTCAAAATAGAAAAGACAAGTTGACAAGTTCTCAAATGGCATGCTCCATAAAAGCCTCCATCTCCTTCCATCTCCTTCCATGGCCCTTTGGGCCCTCCTTGGCGGCCCTTGGCGGCCCTCGCAACTCGTTCCCGTGTCGTTACGTCGCGTTCCCCTTGGGGCTCCGAGCCCTAAGGAGCGCCAAGGCTCCCGGAGACTTCCATCCAAGTTGCCCGTCTCGTAGAAGGCGCCCCAGCGCGTCTCGTCTCCAGCCTCGCGTTCGTCGCGTTCCGCCGTTTGGAGTCGAAAGAAAAGCCGGCCAAGACGGGGTGGTGAGTGCTTTTGTGTTTTTGTTGCCAATGAGTGCTTTTCGCACAAGGCATCACAAGAAATACAAAACAAACGATCCTCGAACTCTTCGTCTTCGGTCTTTTCTCGCTCTGAAATGCCTTGAAAGTACGCTTTCTCAGAGGCTAACCAAGGAGCCGTGAATTCTCCTGTCTTCTTTTGCTGCAAGTCCACACAAGTGCGGCTGCGATTGCAATGAGGACGATGAGGGATATCGTAATGATTGCCCACACTGGAAATCCGGATGATGACGGGAGCAAACATTGGTTCGATGTCCACTGTCCATCAGGGCAAAGAATGTTTGGCTCTTGCATTGTCCATACCAAATCCTTCGGCATCTGACATCTTTCTGATGTGCAGCCGTGCTTCATCAGAGTTTTTGGAAGACTGTCGGCCAACTGTGCAAAGTCTGTCTGCGTAAGCTGCTGAGTCAAGTTGGCTAAGGAGGCATCGCTGTTCTCGCTTGGCGAAACGGCCACCACCACTTTCACGCTCGAGTTCTGGGCATCGGTGACGATGAACGTCGAGCCGCTATAGCTGTTCGGAAGACCGACATGGCTGACACTGACATTGAGCACGTCCAACGAGGACCCTGTGATTTGTGAGGACACCGTGTCTTTGAATGCAGGCACAAATGCTGACGCCAACCAATCATTGGTATCTAGTGCCAGGTTTAGGGCATGGAGCTCATAGGTCACAAGTACTAAGCGATTTCGCTTGGCATTTTCACACCTCCCGGTTCGGATGTTGACATCGTAGCCCTCGGTGCATCCTTGGCATGTGTCCGCTTCGCCACAAAGGTGGCAAAACTCCGCCGCCGAAGGCTTCTGAAGCGGAAAGCATGGCCGAGATGGTACATTCTTCGGCTTTTCAGATTTGGCACACTCTTCCAAAGGACAGCTCTGATTTTCCGCCTCTGGGCAATCACAATCGCTAGTTGAGTTTCCCTAAAAATCTAGGAACCAAATCATTAGTGCGAGCGCTTCTTCAAGGAAGCTTCCCCCGCCGCTATCCTGCGTCCAGCAGGTAGTAGCTTCCTTGTAAGGTATACTAGCTACCTCTAGCTAGCTACCTCACCTACCTCCACTCGCAGCCTAACTCCTTCCCCCACGCGCGCGCGCGAAAATAAAGAAAAACTAAAAATCCCTTCAGTAAACAAAACGTCTACATAAAACTCCTTCAATCATTAATAGCCTTCCAACCCGCTCCGCCTCGGGGCAGTCGCATATTAACGCTTGCTTCTGGCTGCCCTCGCCACAGCGGTTGTCGCATTGGTCGCTCCAATTTCCAAAGCTTTTGCTCCAGGGACAACGGTCGCCGCGACAAAACGACGCGTTGCTCGGCCGCGTCGCGGCGTCACAGGCGCCGAAGATCTCTTGAAAGGGACACTGCACCTCGAAGGGGATGGTGGGAGGGGAGTGGTTGGAGGCGCAGGCCGGCCAGACAGGCCGGCCAGGCAGGCCGGCTATTTTGTTTTCCTCACATAAAAGATAAAGAAAATACAAAAGAAAAGCAAACAACTTAGTCTAATTGACAACAGGGAACCTCTCGGAACTTGCTTCCATTGCCACACGTCGCATTGCAACTGCCCCAGTCTTCCGTCTTCCAAGTCCTCTTGCATTTCCCAAGGTAAACACAGCAAGCCGAACTTCCCGTGGCCAAGCTGCACTCGGCATCAGCATCACACTCAGAATCACACTGAGGCAGTGCATCCTGCGACGCATTGTGACACAATTGAGGCCATTGCATCAACCGACTAGAGATGGCCTCCAAGCTACTAGCAATGGCGCTCATTCTGAATCAGGGAAGGATAAGAATGGGTAGGAGGACGGGGGATTCCAATCCATTCCACATCGGAAGCGTTCGCTCTGCGACCCGCCCGGCTTTGCGGTCGAAGCAACATCGCCAAGGGGAATTCAGAGGTAGCTGTGCCGCAAAGAAGTCACCAGTCACCAACGAAAAGTGAACTGAGAAAAACAAATCTACGAACAATGGAAGAATGGGTCTAAAGAACACAAGTCCCAGCGCACATCCGGGACCAAGGAGACAATCGGGTAAAGGATGGTAAAGGAATTGCGACAATTTTGTTTGGGCGGGGACATTCTAGTTATCATCTGTTCTTGATGTGTTCATGTCTTAGATGCACATGCAGCCATATGCCGCTGGATGGTTCCTGCTTGATTCACCTATGATCCAGCCACCAAAAAGAAAAACAAACAGAGCCCATTTCGCCCAAGTCCTGGTATTGTTTTAGCTTGTGATTCAAAAAGAGGTCAATTCGGCATGGAGCTTGTGAGGGAGGAACGACTGAGCGCAGTGTGCCTGGCACATAGCAAGCGTCGCAGATTCCAGAGTCATCCCTATGGCAATAGGAGACGCCAGCATCTGGTGCAGGCTTGTTGCACATTGGCCCATACTGATCGCATCGAGGGTTTTGTGCATAGAAGTCATCAATGATGCTGCCTCCAAATGCCTTCTCAAGAAATCTTGCACGGAAGGCATTGCGACTGGCATTGCAACGACCCATCCAAAAAGGGATACCAACTTCATTACCAGCTTCGCCACAGGATTGGTCTTGGCATGAAGTCACACAGCCTAGGTAGTCATATTCCTTGCAATATTTCACTCCCAAAGAAGTGAAGGTCAAATTGGGATTACTGCAATGAAGGCGAAAGTCCTTCCAATTGGCACATTTGCGGCCACCACAATCTTCCTTTGTGACACCGACAATCTCATCGAGATTCATCTTGGTGTAGTTTTCGACATAGTAACTGCATCCAGGCGTGCCATCTGGTATGTTCGATGTAAAGATGCGATTGCAAAGGCCTCCTGCCACATATTGGCTCTTTTTGGCTGGCACTAAGCCCTCCTGATATTTCGTACAGTTCGAGCTCTTCTTGTCTCCATTCTTCATGTTTGGACAAGGTCCACTTAAACTGAACCAATAGAAGGTTTTGTCCATGGGGAATCGTACATCTCCATGCGGTGGATGAAAGGCAAGAACTCCAACGAGATCCCCGCTTCTTTCGAACATCTCTGCATCCTCAGGGCTTGGAGCTTGGAGGCTATCTCTATTAGAAACAAAAAAAAGAAAGGATGAAAGGATGTGAAAGGTCTAATATTGTTTGGTATTAGGTTGAGTCGTACATCTCCATGCGGCGGATGAAAGGCATGAAATTCCAGCGCTCCTCAGGGTTGTTGACTGCTCCATCCTCGAAGCGGACATACTTGGCAAACTCCGCTTGCACGTCTACATCACTTGAACTCATGTTGTTGTGGACTCGGATTTGATATTTCACGATGGTGTCAATACCATTCTCTCTGGCAGGACGTTCTGGAGCCTTGCCGGTCTCCACTACGACCTCCGTGGCCAAATAATTGATCAGTCCAGCTGCATCGTACAAGTCAACATTTCCTGGGGAGGCGATATCGGCACCTGCAGATGTGGCAGCGTACATTTCCAGCACCACATATTTGGCCGATGCCGTTTCTGCGATCTCCAGCCCGGAACTGGGAAGCACGGCGACGCAAGTTGCCAAGAACTGCAGCATTCTTGGGCACCAAGGTGAACAAGTTTCACACTAGTGACCTAGAAAGCTATAGTATCTTATTGAGCCAAACAAGCACAATTGAAACTGAAGCACTGTCAAACCACACATGTGACATCTGTAGACTTGCGCAGACGTCTGCTCTGCGCATGTGAGCCGTGTCTCCGTTTGCTCAGCCCGAAGCTCGCCAGTCCAATCCGTCGGGACCTTCCTGAGGCCGAGCGTCGTTCGGTTGATTTCGGCTTTGCAAGGCCCGATCAGGTTTGTTCGCGACAGGAGGCCGCCATTACCTCCTGGCATCGCTACTAGGAGCAAGGACGCTACTAGTAACAAGAAGCTACTAGGGGCTCCTGGCCATACTAGTAGTAACAAGGACGCTACTAGTGAGGCTACTAGGGCGCAAAGACGATAGACGTTAATGGACGTTGAGCCGGAGATGAGCAAAGGGTGCGAGCATGTGCGAGCGTTTCGATGGCGTGGAGCATGTGCAGTCTGCCCCTTCTTTGTTCCTAGTAGCGTGGCACTTGTTACTACTAGTAAGGCACTTGTTACTAGTAGCTTCTTTGTTCCTAGTAGTAAGGCCAGGAGCCCCTAGTAGCGTCCTTGCTCCTAGAAGCGATGCCAGGAGCCCCTAGTAGCTTCTTGTTCCTTGCACCAACACGCAAGTGAAGCATCTCGAGACCACCGGCTGAAGGTCAAGTGAATGGTTTCCAGATGCGAAGGACAGGATATCGGCAGACGTCGAGGTTAACGCAATACGCGCTTAGGAGCCGAGCCACAAGGAAACATCCAGCTATGCAGGGAGAAATGATGCAATAAATCTGCTTGTTCAAGCTAGGAGCAAGGACGCTACTAGGGGCGCTCCTGGCCTTACTAGTAACAAGAAGCTACTAGTAACAAAGGGGATGGCTACTAGGAGCAAAGGGCATTGCTACTAGGAGCCAACAACAAAAATAATCTGGTAAGTCTCGCACTCCCCGAGGGCAACGGATTTCACACGGAGCACAAAGAATCTGAGCACCTCACATCGCCATTCCAAGTGCACAAAAAATGCAGCTGAAATTGTGGACTCGGAAGAAACGCTTGATAAGATCTTTTGTTACTAGTAGCTTCTTGCTCCTAGTAGCGATGCCAGGAGCCCCTAGTAACGTCCTTGCCCCTAGTAGTAAGGCCAGGAGCCCCTAGTAGCTTCTTAAATATGTTCTGCTTGTAGAAACGCAGCTTTCCTGAGTTCGCTGCCCATAGGCATGATCATATGATCTGAGGTGGCTAGGCGTTTCTTCACGTGGTTGATCCTTGCCAAAACCTGAGATGCTGCAAACCATCGCTCTTAGGTAGAAGGCCATCACTCTGAATTTCTGCTCCCTCTTTCGCCCTCAGCGATTCTGCTCGCTTCCTTCAGGAAAGCACTACAGCTCCTTTTTGGGAGCTCCACTGTTTCTCTTCTGGGAGCATCGGCTTTCGAACGCTCAACAACGGCGTGTCACCGTGCGATGTTGGAGTGTGAGTAGCGATGGCCTCCAACCGAGTGTGGATTTTGAAGCACTTTCTGAGTCAGGTACGCCTTTTCCAATCAAGCCAGGATCGAAGAGTTCGTAGTCAAGTACGACCTGAAGAGTATTCCCCTCTTCCAGAAGATCTGAAGCGAAAAAATGTCTTGGAACCAAGCAAACATGTCTTAGTAACAATTGCCTCGTTAGTAGTAACAGGTGCCTTACTAGTAGTAACAAGAAGCTGTTAGAAACAAGTGCCACGCTAGTAATTACTTTAGTGGATGGGTTCCTCAATTCGTTTCAGATCCGAAGCATGTCTAAGCTGTGAACGACATCCACTTTCCCTGTCAAATTGTTCTCATCCTCTCCGTCCGGATCGACCACAGCCAGCTCATGGGAGGGGCGATGAACAAACCTTGGACGCCATACGGCGCCAGCCATGGCAAATGTTTGGCATCTGTTTGAGCGCATACTTTACGGAACTCTTCTCTCCGAGGTGGGAGGCCACCCGACTCGAAGTCGATGCACTGAATCGCTGCCCGAACTCCGAACTCCGAGGCCCAAGCTTCACCTGCTGCGATTTCAATCCGTTCCTTGGGGTTCAGGTCTCGGTCTCGAAGAACGGAACCCCAATAGGAATGGCATCCAACCTAGTGGCGATGGCCTCCGACCTAATAGGTTTCTGTCTCTAGACATTTTAGCTCCAGCGGACTCCAGCGTTCCAAAGATGCAGCAGTGCTAGGTTGAGGACTCTCGAGCAATGGTCATACAAAGGTCAGCGATGTAGGCTGCACGATGCCTAGGCATCGCAAATGCACTCTCTTCCAGATCGAAGAGTGTTGCTGTGACTCTTTGTACCACAATATCTGAGAAATCTGAGACTGCTACGCGGTGTTGGCTACAATGTCTGATGCTGGCAAATACCTTGTTTACCGAACTGGAAGACTGGAGAAAGACGGAAGAAAACGCCACAGAAGTTTCATGCCGTTATGACGAGAATCCTTACGCAACGTCACAAGTTTGACCTCCTTTTATCGATGATGGTAGCCTCCAACCTACTAGCAATGGCCTTCACATGGCCTCCAAAGAAGCTACTAGGAGTAAGGGCATTGCTACTAGCAACAAAGGGCATTACTACTAGTAGCATTCTTGCTACTAGTAGGGTCCTTGCTCCTAGTAGCGATGCTACACACGGCCTCTGCCACTTCCCCGCCTCGCTGCTGTGAGCAGAGGGAGTCCACAGCCAATGCCCAAAAACAACCATCGTGCCTCAGCGACACGTGCAGTCGTCACAGGTGGAAAGCAGTCGTCGCTACTAGTAGCGATGCCAGGAGCCCCTAGTAGCGACACTGCTACTAGTAGCTAAGTGCATTACTACTAGTAGCATCCTTGCTACTAGCTATTTGCTACTAGTAGCAATGCACTTGTTACTTGTAGCGTCCTTGCCACTAGTAGCGATACACCTTGTTACTAGTAGCTTGTTACGCTGCATAAGATTTGTTGAAATTCATCCTGACATGTGCATGGCTGAACTGCAGCTTGTTGGCACTGCCCCGAATGATTTCTCTCGGAGGGCTAGTAAAGTAGGAACACATGATAAGAGTGTTTCACTTGCGAAACGGAGAAATGCAAAGCTGGCGGGCTAAACTGGGTGCATGAATCAAGAGATGCAAAGACGAACTGCGTTCCGTACAGCAAAGCTGAGCCCACACAGAGTGAGACATATCTGTCTTTGCGTGCGCAAAAATGAGATTCTATATGATTCGGTTTTACTATAGATGAATTCCAAAAATATAGAACAAAACACTTTTATAGAAAGAAATACAATTACCCACCTCTTACAGCAGTTAGAGGGGTCTTTTTGGGCGCATGGAGTCAAGCTGTAGGAGCTTGAGGAATCAAAAGACTCAAATGAGGAAGACAAAGTTCCTCTTACCGTAGGTATAGTTGATGCATCTTGCAGCGCTTCTTGAGAACGGTTTTTGGTCTTCTAAGAAGCACTTATGGTGGACGTGAGCAAAGGGTTTCATCTAAAAGGTTCGCCTACACAAACCTCACGCAAGTTGTGCAGTAGTAACAAAAAGCTACTAGGGGCTCCTGGCCTTACTACTAGGAACAAAAGGACGCTACTAGGGGCTCCGGGCATGGAGCATTCTTACTACTAGGGTCTTCAAGGGATCGAAGCGATGATCCGACAGCGCGACAGCGCAGCCATCCGTGCGTCTTCCTCGTCTCCACTCCTTCACTAAGTCGCCATATATACACACTCGATAACACATATACAGAATAGAGAGAGAGAGAGAGAGAAAAAAAAGAAGGACAAAAAACAACAACATATAGATCATCTCATTTGCATACTCGCTATATCTGACAATACTGTTACAATGCTTGATCCAGGAGGCCATCGCTACTAGGTTGGAGGCCATTGCTTGATACCTATATACACCTATATACACTGTCTTCTTCAACTGATACATCACGAACGTGACGCTTTTGCACGAACACCCAGCTCCGGACATCGTTGCCCAACATGTTGTGCTTCTCCCGCGTACCATCCGCTTTGGTAGCACCTGGAAAAACACTCTGAAACTCCGATGGCGACAAGCAACCAACCTGTCCACATTTGTTTTGTTTGTGCTCTTTGTCGAACTTCTCAAGCTTCCTGCCCATGAGATGACCCACAACATCCCGCACAGCCTGGCAGCACAGAGTGGTTTCTATTTGGGCAAAAGTCCGGGCCAAAGCGACGCTATGGACAGTTGGAGACCATCAAACTACTAGGAGCAAGGACGCTACGTTCGGGGCAATTGATGGTGGCCAAAGCGACGCTTGAACTTCCGGGTCGACCTTGGCAAAGACTTCGATCGGCGTTGCATTCTGGTCAAGAAGATTCAGAAGCTCCTCAGCGTACTGAACCTTAGCTAAAGCATTCGGGTGACTTGCACATATTTGTACTAACTTCACACATGTTTTGCACTGAGTATCCAGATTGAACATGAAGTTCACTCATGTGCCGTTGTGCACTTGCTTACGGTTCACTTGAAGCCTGAAAATACATGAATGACCAAGACTTCTTTTGTGCTCACCAACGAATCCGATCCATGTGCTGTTTGAAGAACGAATCTGGTGGACGAGTAGCAGCCATGAGAAGCCTTTCCTCGTGAACTTGTAGTTGCTTGGTTTGCTATTAGGAGCAATGTTCGCTACTAGGGGCTCCTGGCATCGCTACTAGGAGCGATCGGATGCTACGAATGGGGCTCCTGGCCTTACTACTAGGAGCAAGAAGCTACCAGCTACTAGTAACGAGGGCATTACTACTACATGGTGACTCAACGGATCCGCGGATCTCATTGCTCGGCTGACTGCCGGTTTGTGCCTCTGACTCTTGTGAAGTCATGAAAACCGGTGCTAAGTCTATTTAATAAGCTAGTAGTAACAAGTGCATCGCTTCTAGTAACAAGTGCCTTACTAGTAGTAACAAGAAGCTATTAGTAAACATGCAATGCTTTATTGTTCTTTCGATTTCCTTTGGGTTCCTCAGTTCGGTGTGTGTGCACTGTGCCGAGTGACTGTAGCCCGAGTGACTGTTTTGCTCCGGAATGCGGGTGTCTCAGTTTTCAGATGTGCATGACCTTGTGCCTTCACTTCTGGTCATTGAGCCACCACCATTCGTTTCTGGTCATGTCCAGTCATTTGGCCAAGGGCCAAGGTGGCCAAGGGGGCGTCAACTTCTCCAAATAAAACTGCAAGCCTAGTGGTAGCAGCAGCAGCAGCAGCAGCAGTCAATGTTTGGTGGAAACCATTGCTCACCTAAATACACATCCACAGTCACATGCACATACCTATACACACATACCTATGCACGAAGAGTGGATTAACGAGATTCTCTGTGTCCCTACCGAGAATTCCTTAACAAGAACAGCCGGAACGGCTTTTTGCTTTGAGGCTATCTCCGGAAGCTGACCTGTGAAAACAGTGGGTTGGAGCCCCGTTCGTAGCGTCTTTGCTCCTAGTAGTACGGCCAGGAGCCCCGTTCGTAGCTTCTTGTTAATAGCAGTGATGCCAGGAGCCTCTAGTAGTGTCCTTGCTCCTATTCTTTTCTTTTGGTCCATTTTGGATTGCTTTTTGCTTGCGCTTCACGCAGTCTCGCTGAATGGGGGCCGTGCATCGCTCTGCCGTTCCAGGAACAATGCAATCGCCTGCAAAGAATTGGCATCTCTCTCTCCATGAGCAGAGAATCTCTCTTCCAAAACTCTGTACAGTATGTTCTGTTGCAGTCCAAAACTCTCCTGTTTTAGGTAAAATAACGCTCAAAACTCCTGGCTTCAGCTCAAGCGAAACGTTCGCCGCGGCTTCGCCTTCTTTCTTCGCCTCGCGGCCTGGCCTGCGCCTGCTGGGAGTCGCTGTAGTCCACTCGGCTGGGCGCGGGCTTCGCATCGATCCGCCACTCGCGGCGGCTCGGATCCTCGGCGACGGGTCCGTAACAAGTGCCTTACTAAAAGTAACAATGTTCGCTACTAGGAACAAGTGCATCGCTAGTAGTAACAAGTGCCTTACTAGTAGTAACAAGAAGCTACTAGGAACAA